CATAATCTACTCTGTACATTTGCAGGGAGGACATCCAGAAAAAAAGCGTTGTTACTAAAAGCTTGGATGTGCTTTTAGGACCAACAGTGGAATAACATTACTGAAAATGCCAGCATGTCCAGTGTCTCTTGGGAAACTAGAGAGTTGTGGTAGAAAACCTCCCTCACCTTGCAGTGTAATAGCGAGAGAAGGATTAGCCGAGTGTGAAGAGCAGGACTGTAGCGTGAGGTCATTGGAAATTTATTGTCATTCCCATATTCTCCGGTTAATGAGACCATCAGCGTTGTCACCTTTTCACTCGTGTGATTTACAAGCCCAGTAAAAAAAAAGCCCACCCTGGTGCACAGAGCCACTTTCTGCTGATCTTGTACAATGTGGATATGAGAACAGAGCTGTGTTATGGCAGAGCTAGCTCTCCTGGTACTTCTGTGTGTGTGTGTGTGTGAGAGAGAGAGAGAGAGTAACACATCTTACACAGACGCATTATTCATTCAGAGGTCAATGAGCCGTTTCAGATTAGGCCCCTAATTGCTTACAGGATGACTTGTGCAGTGCGGTAATCCTCTGTATGCACCAGCAGAGCTGTTGTAAAGGTAATCCACTTACTGCAGAGATCACAGAAGGGTCTAACAGAAGGGAATATTCTGGACTTCACATCAAAATGGCAAGAAAGGTGGTATTTGAAAATGGCTTTCTAAGCTCCACTGGAGGGTGAAGATGTTTCTAATGAGATAGGTGTAAATGTTGGATGATACAGCTGGAGTGAGAACTATGGAGAGCAAAGGCTTTTTACATAAGGGGTTATTATGACATTACTACACAGTGTCTAAATTCTCCTATCTTTAATCAGTTATTAAAAGTGATTAAAACAGGAGTGTCCAATCTTATTCGGAAAGGGCCGGTGTGGTGTGGGTGCAGGTTTTCATTCCAACCAAGCAGAAGCCACACCTGAGTCTTATGAAAGTCAAGTTCAGCTGGTTGAACAGGCGGAATCGGGTGTGGCTCCTGCTTGATTGGAATGAAAACCTGCACTCACACCGGTTGGACATACCTCGATTAAAAGATTAAACAAAGTATACAAAACAATGATCTACCATCAGTATAATAGATTTTGATAATCACTCCTATAATAAACTAATGAAGTTATGATAAATAAATTAAAATCATTACAAATCTTAAAAGTACGAGATAAAAAACACAAAAGTTATGAATAGGTCAAGCTAATCAAGTACTGATTGAAATCCTGCTTTTAAAACATTTATGGATCTGGTATTCCTCTCATTCCCGCAAATATTATTCCAGAGTTTACGACTGAGATAAGAAAAATATTTTCCTAAAGATATGCTCTTAGCAATTATTAGTAGGCTTGTCTCAGCCTATAATATACTATAAAGTGATGCATTATGCATTTATACACACACACACACACACACATAAATATATATATATATATATATATATATATATATATATATATATATATATATATATATATATAATAATGTACTAATGTCCTTATTCAGTGCCATTTTGAATATTCTCTTCTGGCAGCATATAAATGTATCACAGACCAGCGTGAGCAGCTAGAGGAAGCTCTGCCTCTGGTGCTGGGGCTCATCCTGGGCCTCATCATCGTCATCACCGTCACTATCTACCACTTCCACCTGAAACTGTCAGCTCATCAACCCCAGCTGCCCCGCGACCGCTCCCTCTACAAGCACATGTAGAGACTCTCTATGCACCGTGACCAAGGCCTGCCGTGAGGGGGAACAGACGAGATCTGCAAACATTTTACTCAACGCTTCTGGGAAAACGTGATGAGTTTTTTTCCATCATTAACGTCCGCTGCCTAATAGTCTGATCCCTCGCATTTGAGATTGTTTTTTTTTTTTTAATGATTCTGCTGATAATCATGTTGATGATAATGTCATCTAAAAAAGATATATATATTGATACATTGTTAAAATCTTTCATGTTGTGCCATGTTGTATCACTCAGTGTGAATAGTGTGCAGAACTGAAGGTATTTCTGTCCTGTTACAGTGCCAGCAAATACATGAGCATGGTCTTTTAAGATGATATGATATATGAATTATAATATAAACACTTGAATCATGCAAAATTTGTGTGCAAAATTCTATTCAACAGTAAACTATTTTGTGTGTGTCCAGTTCTCGTTTTGATTTTGTGCTTTTGGAGTTGCACGCACTTTTACACACCCTCTATTTTACTACCATTCATATTTCTTCGTGATTTTAAAAAGGTGTCAGGAACAGAAACTAAACATTCTAAATAATATGCAAAATGACTCAAGTGACAATATAAGGTCTATCCAATATGACCCACAAAAGTAGTGTGGAACGAAAGGAGCGACCTGTGCTTGATTTTGTGGCTAGCAGAGTATTGATCTGATTCTTTGGTTTCCAGCTTGTTTTGGAAATGCCATAGGAAGAAAGTTCATGAAAAGAGATGGATGATCACGCACGTGATTGCCTCATGAACTTAAGCACTATATCATTCATCTTACAACATGTATTACTACTAGCTTCATTGTCCACATTTAAAAAATCAAAACCTGAATTGCAGTGTGTACTGTTAATAAAATAATCACTATTTATAATTCATTCCTTTCAATAGTTTCCTATATGTTAACTATTGTGAAGCGAATAATCGATTCAATCTGAGATTAGTGTCTGTATCCTTTCATTTAACATAAAGACTTTGTGTTCATCCCAGGACTCCTATTCACAATATGCTCATACTGAACATCCTTTCAACATCAGTAGGATATGATTTTACTCTTCTACTGTATACAGTAATGAGTTATAATCCCACAAGAAGAGGACGGGTTCCCTTTTGAGTCTCGTTCCTCTTCAGGTTTTTTCCTCATATCATTTCATGTACTTTTCCTTTGCTACTGTCGCCTCTGGCTTGCTCATCGAGGATCTAAATCTACATCGACATTTCGATAAATCTGATTCGTGCCTATTGTTGAAAGAACCTTACACGAAAAATTGATTGGAATTTACACTCTCTAATGGTCGCATTCGAATTAATTTCCGCCTATTAAAAGCATATTTTAATTACGTCTGTTTTTGGCTCACCGCGCAACAGTTTGACATGCTAGACCTGAAGTATAATAAACACGCCGTTTAAAATAATGCCTCAGATATTTCTGTTTTCCTTTTTTTTTTTTTTATTGAAACCAGCTTTACTGATAACACATGCAAGATCACTGTACAAAGCGACACAACAGTTAGATATACTCATTCAAGTCTGACCATTCATCAGGCTTTGCCAGAAGCAGACACACGGTTCATATTTACAGATCACAGTGAGTAATGGGAATAGTAACAGGATTGCAGGCTGAGTCACAGACACCGTGTGCCACTTACAGTACTGAAATGAAAATATCTCAAGCATGTAAGTATTGCTAGGATTTTAAGAGGCTCTTCTTGGATGAGCATAAATTCTTAAAGGTAGTAGCATTGTGTCAATGCTTTAAAAAAAAAAGAAAGAAAGAAAGAAAGAAAGATCTTAATAATGTGTTGTTTCTCAAGTGAGAAAGATTTGCACGATCAATGAAGATGTAACTGTGGTGATTATTGCTTGTCTGAAACAGCCTGCTTGCATGATATAGCCAACATCGCTCTTTATAGGTATTCAAAATGAGAACAAAACACACACACAAAAAAAAAAACCACCCAAAAAACTAAGGCCACACTACTGAAAAATAAAGCTTCAGTTCAAAAATAAATAATACTTTAAAACAGCATACAAAATTCTGGCAATACCTCTCTCCACACTCACTGGAAGTTCTGTCTATAAATGTAGGGTAAATAAATATATTCAGTTTCTTCGACAGGTAAGGGTGTGTGTTTAGTGTGGATATCTACAGTTCTTAGTCAAAAATGGATTATAAACAGTAGGAAAGATCTTTTGCAGAAACTCTTTAATTCTATTCAATACTGCCCATTTCACAATGGTTACATCACCACAAAATACTGAAGATTATCAAAACTGTACAGAGAAAATCTTACAAGTCCACTAAAATACACTTTCACTGTTAGTGTGAAGAGGCGTGAAAAAGGAGATTCCTCAGTAGTGTAACACCCTATGTCCCTTACAGACATTCAAATCTGGCTTATAGCCCGTCTTATCTCCTGAAAAAACCCATCATTAGTGCTTTTGCATTCAGGGATAGAGGCCGTTGATCGCCTGTTGTTCATCAATTGCTCAGCTTATCAGGTTCACTGCTGCTTCCCCCTGTCTGAACTCAAGACTGCAGCTACTACAGTACAACTCTCAACAGGGAGTCAGGACACACAGCACACGCACACACGTCACTCCTACAAACTGGTCACTAGCTGTCTAATAAAGATCCAGACACCTACCACTGAAGCCAGCGGCACTACTAATGGCCATGATATTCTCTTTAGTGTGGTGTCCATTTACTTACTTTGTATTAATAGATAGCTTTCTTGTTCGTGTTATCTAAACTACATACGGTTAAAAGTGTCAGTGTGGATTTTCCACTGGTTACATATGATTGGGTAAGTAGTAGTGTACTGCATGTGTTGGTCAGCGATGGCGGTAATGCCTCATCAGAGGAACGATGCATGAGGGAGGGCCTGAGAGCTTGAGGAATGGGTGCTGCAGGAGCTCCTGTGCCGTGGCCCGCTGTGAAGGTTCCCTCACCAGCATCAGGTCCAAAAAGGCTCTGAGCACGGACGATACCTGAGGAAGCAGTGACAAATGTCACAAACTGTTAATATTTATGTTCTACTTTTTACAATATCCATCTATCCATCCATTTTCTATATCGCTTATCCAAAAAGGGTCGTGAAGAACCTGTTCCACCCTGGACGGGGTGATAATTCCATCACAGCGAACAATCACACACACATTCACACACTATGGACACTTTTTGGACTGTGTCTTTGGACTGGGGGAGGAAACCGGAGTTCCCAGAGGAAACCCCATGCAAACTCCGGACACACAGGGCAGTGGCGGGAATCGAACCCTCAACCCTGTAGGTGTGAGGCAAACGTGCTAACCACTAGGCCACCGTGTGCCCTGGGTCAATATAATATGTTATATTTGTAAAGTGAAATAATATATTAAAATGACATTTTATAGTTCTTTGGCCAAACGTCTTTAATAATTGAATGCTGCTCATATAATACATTTAAATATATGTTCTACAGATTATGTTCAGGTTACATCAATACAAAACTGACATCCATCCATCTTCTATACCGCTTATCCTTCCTTCAGGGTCGCGGGGAACCTGGAGCCTATCCCAGGGAGCATCGGGCACAAGGTGGGGTACACCCTGGACAGGGTGCCAGTCCATCGCAGGGCACAATCACATACACACTCACACACCCATTCATACACTACGGACACTTTGGACTCGCCAATCAGCCTACCATGCATGTCTTTGGACTGGGGGAGGAAACCGGAGTACCCGGAGGAAACCCCCGCAACACGGGGAGAACATGCAAACTACACACACACAGGGCCACAGAAGGAATCGAACCCCGACCCTGGAGGTGTGAGAAGAACGTGCTAACCACTAAGTACGAGACTGACAAGGTGAAATAAATGTGTTGAGAAATGAGAAACACACACTATTTCCTGTCACACTTCCTCTAATAATTTAGCTACACACAGGTGTATATTGTACACACACATACCTGTAAAAAATACATTTTAAAAATCCCCAAACACATACAGGAAAACACACTGTGTATTTTAAAATCCCCCATAACATGTAATTTTACACCACCAAAATAATCTATCTACACATTATCTATATTTATACATTATTTCATATGTTTTTCTAAACATCCAGGAAAGTACAACAACGGCCACAAATAAATCCAAACCCTTTTCCCTTATCCAAAATGACAGGATATAGGAATATACACTATTTGAATATTTGATTGGAAAACATGCTCTTCTGCTGTCCCAACTAGCCTAATATCATGAACATTAGCTAACTTAATTAGAGGGCTAGTTAAATGCTAACAAACTAGCTCACATTTCTTATATGTAGACAAGAGTGGGAGTTCAGCATGCAAATCTTTGTCTCTACTTACCCTGCCGTAGCTCGATATAACAGAAAGCTCTAGAAATGTACCATAAAATCGAAACTATATAGTCACCACTAACATTGGCTGCAGCGAAAAGTTTCCAGGTACCATGTTATCTTCTAATCTCAGATCCAAACGTTAACCCGAGCACATTTGTAACTCTCCTCAAATAATTTTTTTTTTTTTTACAGAAGCACTTAAAAACTGTGGGTTAAAAAAAATAATAATTAAAGAGTGTCATTTCTGCACTGTGTTGTGAAATTTGACCCAATCTACATTGGTCTCTATTCAGCATTAACATGTGTTCACCTTGTGTGATTCTTTTAGCCGAGGGGGAAGGTTGTCTCGAATTCTCCTCATGGCCTGCAGTGGAGGCTCATTGAAGTAGGGTGGTTCCCCGTCCACCATTTCAATCACCATGATCCCTAGAGACCAAATATCAACCTAGAACACCAAAGCAAATATTAGTTTGCTGACTTTTTTGAGGGGGATATGTAATTTCATTCTACTACATTAGGCTATTATAAGGCTTTATGCAGTATGTATGTACATTAAGTTTAAGTAGAACTGTTGCACAGACGTATGAGAAACAGACTGTGAAATCTTTCATGACTAATTACCTCAGTGCCATATGGCAGCCTGGAGATGACCTCGGGAGCCATCCAGTATGGCGTGCCAACCAAGGACTTTCGCTTAGGCACATCTTTTGACACTTGAGCACAAAAGCCAAAGTCAGAGAGCTTTATCTAAAAAGTGGTAAGGAGAGGAAACAGCTTTAACTATAAACACTGGTGCGTAATAAGAATGGTATTATGGATATAACAGAATACAGATACAGATACGAATCGTAGGCACGGTATTCATTTTGGCTTTTCAGGTTTTTTTTTTGGAAAGCTTGCCAGAAAGATTTACAGAGTATCAGGACTGGAATAGCACAGGATGCTATTCCAATAAAAAAAAAAAAAATCACATGAGTGGGAAATGTTTACTTTCATACTTCATACTCGCAAAGGGTGCGAGTATAAAGCTTGCGAGACAGACAACATGCATTTAAGAAATATACTTTTGTTGATAGAGCTGTCGCTCCATATTTCTCACGCAGTCCACATATTTCTGCTGGAGTCTTCACAAACTAATCACTTAATTCATTATAAAATATTACCTTGTACGTTCATTATGCTTTTTCATGCTCTCCATTGTTATGAAAAGAAAATCTTGTTATTAATTGTTATTAATTCAGGCATTATAATGAAATGCAGCTTAAAGGACCCCATTTTGACTCAGCAGCTGATCTTTCTGGAATGTAACAAGTGAAGTGAAAAAACAATTCACTAAAATAAAATATTATTAGATGTCTACTGCTGTCAACAATAAAATAAATAATAATTATTATAAAAAAACAGTTTTTTGATTTGGGAAAGATGTTGTTATGAAAGACAGTTCTCTAGTCACATTAGATGGAAAGATTTCCAGAAGGTTCCACAGTGACATAGCTAAGGAACAGTACAGGTTTTTTTGAATGAGAAAATGACTTCTTATTCCCAGAAGTCCTGGTATATTTTCCCCCCGGTGTTTTGTAATTTTCACATACCACTGTACACATATTTAAATCAGAAATGACCACACTCATGTCCAGTGTAAATCCAAATACAGATATAGTAGATACAAATATTTTTAGCACTAAACTCATACAGATACATATACTGAATAATTACATGCAAATTTAAAAGGTTCAAATTTATGTAGGGACAATTATAGAACACGTTCATACAGTGGGGTCACATATAGAGCACAATTCACAGCTTATTAGCACATACTCACTCATTAATTTATATCCCTTTACCTAATTAGGAGTTAGATGACAAGATTTAATTACTCATGATTACACTAGTTGGTAATTAGTCTTGATTACTTTTCCTCTGTCTCTAAAAGGAAAGGTTTGAAGAAACTGAAAAGGCAAAACAATAAAGTCTAGCTTTCAGTCTTCCACAAATGCTACACACACAATCTCTCTAACCAATATCAGCTTGTATCTTTGCTTGTTTGACATTGGGGTCTCTCTCAAAACATGTAATATTACCCTCTTACAGAACGGTTATAGAACCCGTACAAAAACAGATTGGTTACTGCCTCTGAGGTGGACAATAAAGGTTCTATGTAGAACCCCAAAACAGAGTATGTTGTTACAAAGGGTACCATTCCCATAATGCCATCATCTTCCCACAGAGCCCTGAGGGAGTGTAATATTAATAAGACAAATTATATATGTAAAGACCTGAGTTTTCCTCTCTGAAATGACAAGAAAACTTCTCGTAATTCCTTTTGTCATAGACTAATGGTGCGTTTAAGCCTGCAATTCATTGATTGTTATTCTATTTCTATGCATGTTTTTTGTTTCTGTATAATTTGTAATAATAACAACATAATTATTAAACATATCATTAATATTATTATTAGTAGTAGTAGCAGTAGTAGTAGTAGGAGTAGTAGAATTAGGAATAGTAGTAGTAGTAGTATAAGGAGTAGGAGTAGTAGTAGTAGTAGCAGTAGTATTAGTAGGAGTAATAGTAGTAGTAGTAGTAGTAGTAGTAGTAGTAGCAGTAGTATTAGTAGGAGTAATAGTAGTAGTTGTAGTAGTAGTATTAGTAGGTAAAGGAGTAGAAGTTGTAGTAGGAATAGTAGTAGTAGGTATTCGAGAGTAAGTAGGTAGTAGATATAGTAAAAAAAAAAAAAAAAAAAAAAAAAAAAAAAAAATAGTAATACGTATCAGCCATTGGTGACTTCTTTCATTAGTAAGGTAAAACATAAACTCACCCTGCCATCACTAGTGAGTAGGATGGAGTCACTCTTTATGTCTCTGTGGATGACTCCCTGCGTGTGGAGATATGAGAGGGCTTTCAACACCGACAGACACACTGTGGCAATCTGCTCCTCATTCATCCTGCCAGGAAAATACAACAAAAACCATGAGTTTCCAGATAAAACATCATCTTCACAGGAGGCAAAAACGACCTGATAAGAGTTCAAAATTACACTGTATGAAATATGGTGTGTATATATGCAAATACATAATGAAAATACTCAAATATAATGGTGTCAAAATAAATACAAAGCATGGTAACTGAGAAAATGTACACAAATGAAATATTCTGAAAATACAGAAATACATTTGGTATGACTGAATAATGGTAATGTTCAGGTGGCTGAGAGCTAATGCTAACACTATCTACTGCTGGAGAAAACCCACTGGTGATCTGCACTAAATCTAAACGGGCAAGTCCTGAGTTTGTGTCTCTGGTATATTTACAGTAGTATCACTGTGTGTTGTTACAAGCTCAGTTAAAACATCTACAAAATCATTGCAGATTTCTTCACTAGACTGCATCATGCTCACTAGCTAGAACTGAACTTTGTAACTAGCATCCAGCTAACTCCCTAGCATTCAGCTCAATAACTAGCATCCACCCTACTCCCTAGAAAAAAAATATGATGTATAATAAAGTCCATTACCATTCTTGGGATATCTTTTTTTACATTTTTATTTCTTTTTAAACATATTCCATATCTAGCAACAGACATAAAAATGAGTTAACATCTTGCTACTCTTCCTTTCTATTTCTATTTCCTTTCTCAGCCCGGACAACGCCACTATGCTGTTCATGAACTGTTCACAAACCGAAGCTTTTGATAGCAATTTTTATTCTACAGAGGATGTCAACCTTAGAGCCATTCTAAAATGTGTCATTCAACATAATACACCACATTAAAAAATATAGAACACACAATCATTTGATACAAATGACCCACCAATTATTCTTACAACCAAAAAAACACAAAATGGCACTTTGTATTTCAAGTAATTCAAAAACATGTATCGGAAATACTGCCCAGCCCTGCATGCGCACACACACACACACACACACACACCTGCAGGCAGCAGTGTGTTTCTCAAACCTTATCATTAACAGCACATTTACA